GAGCCCGGTGTCCCCGGGGTCCCCTTGGAGAGCCCGGTGCCCCCGGGGTCCCCCCTTGGAGAGCCCGGTGTCCCCTTGGAGAACCTGGTGCCCCCAGGGTCCCCCCTTGGAGAGCCTGGTGCCCCCGGGGTCCCCCCTTGGAGAGCTCGGTGTCCCCGGGGTCCCCTTGGAGAACCTGGTGCCCCCGGGGTCCCCCCTTGGAGAGCCCGGTGTCCCCGGGGTCCCCTTGGAGAGCCCGGTGCCCCCGGGGTCCCCTTGGAGAACCTGGTTTCCCCGGGGTCCCCTTGGAGAGCCCGGTGCCTCCGGGGTCCCCCCTTGGAGAACCCGGTGTCCCTAGGGTCCCCTTGGAGAGCCCGGTGCCCCCGGGGTCCCCCCTTGGAGAACCCGGTGTCCCTAGGGTCCCCTTGGAGAGCCCGGTGCTCCCGGGGTCTCCCCTTGGAGAACCTGGTGCCCCCGGGGTCCCCTTGGAGAGCCTGGTGCCCCCGGGGTCCCCCCTTGGAGAGCCCCCGGGGTCCCTCCTTGGAGAGCCCGGTGCCCCCCGTGGCGGGCGCCGCAGCTGAGCCCCCTCGTGTCCCTGGGTGCCCTCCTGGGTGGGGGTCCCCTGCGTGTCCCCGGGCAAAGAGCGACTGAGCGGCCCCTGCGTGGTGAGGGTCTGAGCGCCCTCCCAGAGGTGGCCCAATGTCCCCTGGGTGTCCCCGGTGTCCCCCGGGTGGGCAAACGCCCGCGGTGCCCTTGGTGTGGGTGTCCCCCAGGCACGGCGCGGGGCATCGTCATCTCCACSGGGGACCGCACGGTGATGGGGCGCATCGCCTCGCTGGCCTCGGGGCTCGAGGTGGGGCGCACGCCCATCGCCATGGAGATCGAGCACTTCATCCGCCTCATCACYGGCGTCGCCGTCTTCCTCGGCCTCTCCTTCTTCATCCTCTCGCTCATCCTGGGCTACACGTGGCTCGAGGCCGTCATCTTCCTCATCGGCATCATCGTGGCCAACGTGCCCGAGGGGCTGCTGGCCACCGTCACTGTGCGTG